GCAGATACGGTAGCGTAAAAGCGACGGTGAATTGCATTGCAATGTTAACCACGCTGGCCGTCCGATACGTAACGTCACGGAGACGCATGCTCGGAATCTCGGCAGAGAGAACATGCGATGTTGGTGCCCATCCGAGAGTGAATCCCGTAGTCATCACAATCATCATGGCGACAATGGCTGACTTGACGGAGACGCTCGGATTGGACGTGAGTCCGAGAGCGCCCATGGCGAAAAGACCGGCCGTCTGAATCGAGCCGCCGAAGAAGATGACGTTTCTAATGCCGATGATAAGTCAGCCAATCGGTGCAAGTAGGCCTGATCCAAGGCACATAATGCACACTAGGGGCTTTACCTCCGTCCCAAATTGTCCAATAGGATCATTGAGCAGACACACATGACAATGTTAATGCTGGAGGTGATCATGGTGACGGTGAAAGGATTGATGAACCCCAGCTGCTTCACAAAAATGGCGCCGTACACAGAGGCAAAGATAGAGCCAGTAGCCTGCAGGAAAAAGTTGACACCAATGACTGACATGGTTCGTTTTGTCACCTGCTTGCCCCTGAACATGTCCATGAAAGAACCTTTCTCAACTTCGTGATCTATACCTGCGCGTATCTGAGACATCTCGGTCGCTATTTGCTCTTCAGTGAAGCTGCCTTCACGGAGATGAGTGAGAGCTATAAGTGCTTCGTCGTTACGGCCTTGCATTGCAAGCCAACGGGGAGACTTCAGGAGTATAGAGAGTCAGTATCCTGACCCGATCGTAATCAGATGACATAGATACTACTGAGTACTCACCTCTGGGACAAACCAGATTCCCGATATGACTATCACGGGTACGATGTAGAAGAGCCCGTACGGAATCAAGTATGCCGCAGCCGAGTTCAAGCTCCCGGTACCTCGGGCCACGGCGTTGACGACCAAGCCACCCGTCTAAAAGAATTTTCAGCATAAATCTTGGTAGTTTAGGAAGGGTCATTTCAGCTTACTGCAAGACTCAGTTGGTACGTGCCGACAACGAAACCACGAGCTCGTTGCGGAGTTATTTCCGACTGATAGATGGGTACAACGGCAAGCTCCATGCCAATATAGATATAGGCCAATATCCTGGCAGCGAGGATCTGATCTCGGCTTCTGGACGTCATGATAATTGTCGTAGCCACGCAAGACCAGATACTCATTGAGAACATGCACATGCGCCGACCGTAGCGTTTACTGACTATGCTCCCGATCAGAATACCTAGAACAGAACGAGCCTGTCAGTATTTTATGCTAAGCCCATCTCTCGCGTAACGGACCTATGCCAAACCCAATATACGGCAGGCCGGAAAAAAGAGACAGCCACCAGCTTTCGAGGTAGTAGGCTTTCGTCTTGGCATTATACCAGCCGAATTGCCGTTCGAAAGCGTCCATCGCTTGGGTCGAATTAAAGCCTTGTTGGTCAAACCCAAAGTTGAATTGAGAGACAGCAATGAGCAGGATCGTTGAAGTCAAAGATCTGTTGAAAGATTGCCGCAACGCAAGGTGGCTGAACATGATGGCTGATTAGTTACCGAAATATTGGCTGTCAATCTAGGTGAGCATGTCAAGGCACGCCACTTCTCTATGGCTGTCTGCTATTGTGAGAGGCAAACACGACGGCTTTATATTATTCATGTAAGTACAATTACATGCTCTTAATTGCGCCATCACGACTAATGTTGACGATTTGCCGGGCATCGATGTTTCCAACGTTTGACTCCCGGAGAAGTTGAGCCATCTCCTTGGGGTAAACTTCTACTCAAGCGTGACGACCCCTGTCAATCAAGTGGGCCAAAGTAATGACTAGAGCGGGGGGATACGACGCTTATTCCGGATTCTGGATAGCTTCGTTGTTGTTGGATGGTTCCCCGGAAACATCTCCCCGTCTATCCCCGTCAACAACTATTTTCACCAACACAGACAAATCGCTGCTGTTATTATTTGCATGTTGACGAAGCATCCAATATTAGTAACGCGTCGTAGTCATGTGAGATTAGTGTTCACTTTAAAGACACTACTTCACCTTTACGTGCTGTCGTGCATCCACGACCACCTTAGGAGTCCATGGCTGTCTACGGCATACAAGAAGTGGCGTCAAATTTCGACCCAAGAAATTAGCAGTCGCTTCTCATGGAAGGCTGCATAAGATATCGACGAGTTTTTGCTATCTCTATATCATTGCCGGATCTCGGCGGATCTCAACAGCGGGGTATTCATTGACAAGCTGTTATCCCCATCAACGGGTAAGAACGGGGAGATAGCGACCTCTATCACACACCTTTGAGTGTCGTCAAGCTTGCCCCAATCCATATCAGTTTTAGCCCCTCTCAGAAGAGAAATAATCGTCTCTGATGAGTGAATTAAGTGAATTGCGTCAATTCTGAGAGTAATCTCGCCATTAATAGGAGTGGTCACTAAGAAATGGGCCCGTCATTCGTAGAGGAACCCAGTCGATTTTCCGGATCACCTCGGTCACTTGAACTAAAAGGCCGCAGTCGAAATTGAGCACCATATCGCCCATCGAGCTCTTTTCATCAGCAATCACTCATCATGACACCTCAGCGACCAAACTTCCTAATCATCGTCGCCGACGACCTCGGCTTCTCTGATGTCAGTCCATATGGAGGTGAAATCCATACCCCAACTCTCGACAAGCTCGCTAAAGATGGAATTCGCATGACCAACTTCCATACTGCGTCCGCATGCTCCCCAACAAGATCCATGCTATTCTCTGGAACTGATCATCATATTGCTGGGCTTGGTCAGTGTTCTTCCGTTCATCACAGGGCGAAGGCTGACGAACTCTCAAGGCCAAATGGCTGAACACATGAGGCAGTTTGGAGATTACTTCAAAGACAAGCCCGGCTACGAAGGTTATTTAAACTGGAGAGTAGCTTCTTTATCCGAGATCCTGCAAAATGCTGGTTATCACACCATCATGTCGGGGAAATGGTAAGCTCATCGCATGCTAGGTACTTTAGACGACGGCATAGGCGGCTGACCTCGAGGATCCCACAGGCACCTTGGACTGACCAAGGAGCTTGCGCCTTGCAATCGAGGTTTCACGAAGAACTTTACATTCCTACCGGGCTCCGGAAATCATCATGCTCATGAGCCCCAGCTGGACGATGATGAGTTCAAGATCCCTTGTCTCGACACGGAAGGTCATTGGATGGATGGCGATAAGTTTATCAATCATAGAACGGACCTTCCTGATGACTTTTACTCCACGCGCTACTTCACCGATCGTATGATCAACTTTCTTAAGGAGAGAGACGAGAAGGAAAAGGAGCAACCGTTCTTCGCTTACCTACCCTTCACTGCGCCTCACTGGCCCCTCCAGGCCCCACGAGAGGTGGTCGAAAAATACGGTATGAATGGATCATGAGCAGGATCGGGATATAGGAGGTCGCTAACGGTTAATCCAGCAAGGAAGTACGACGATGGCCCTGATGCATTGACGCGGCGAAGACTGCAACGCTTGGTCGATCTCGGCCTTGTGGCCAAGGACATTGACCATGCGCCGCCAGTTGGTGTTCTAGGTAAAGACTGGAACGATATGACGGGATTGGAGCGTAAAGAGTCTGCACGGAAGATGGAAGTCTTTGCTGCCATGGTGGATCTCATTGACGAGAACATTGGGCGAGTCATTGATCACCTTGAGGCTACGGGAGAGCTCGACAACACCTTTGTTTTGTTCATGTCGGATAATGGCGCCGAGGGTGCTGCCCTCGAGGCCATACCTGTAGGTTTAGCCGCGTCTTCAACACCGCGTCGGTCCGATATTAACTTTTGCCCTACCGTAGATGATGGGAGGAGAAACAACGTTTGCTGGGATAGTGCAAAAGTATTATGACAACAGCTTGGACAACATTGGCGACAAGACGTCTTTCGCCTGGTATGGTTAGTAACCGCATCTACTTAATCTTCTGGTGATGCAATTCGGCACTGACTTGGATCAGGTCCGCGATGGGCGTGTGCGGCGACGGCGCCATCCCGGGGCTCAAAGTGTTGGATTACGGAGGGCGGCATTCGGTGCCCATGCTTAATCCGCTTTCCGCCATTTCAAGCCAAGCCCGACGCTATCACGCATCGTTTCACCACCGTTATGGATATCCTCCCCACGATCTTGGAGATGGCTCAGGTGCAGCATCCTGGTACGACGTTTCGAGGTCGTCAAGTCGTTGTACCCCGCGGCAAATCTTGGGTGGACCACCTCACTTCTCCCGATTACGCGGCGCCGGACTCGACGGTCCACGGAGAAGACGTCCACGTCCACGGTTGGGAGCTGTTCGGGCTCAGGGCGATTCGTGAAGGCAAGTGGAAGGCAGTTTGGCTGAACAAACCCAGGGGAAAGGATGACTGGGAGCTATATGACGTGGAGAAGGACCCTGCGGAGATGAATGATGTATCAGACAAGGAGCCGCAGGTGATGCGGAGGCTTGTCGATCACTGGGAACGGTACTATGCAGAGACCGGGATGACCCAGACACCAGAGTTTGCTATCACCAAGGCTTAGCAGGGTTTGAAGATCGGATGATGTCTTTACAGAGTACATCATCTGCACCGCGCCAGGCATCATCAAGTTCGCTTCGATTCAGGGAAACCAAAATTCAGATCAAGATCTCAACTTTCCGAAGTAGCAGCTTCTTCAATCTTGAGGACATGCACCAGGAGTTACCTATTCATGCTCGACATTGTGGTACCAGATGACTGTGCCCTACGGCAATTAATATTCGCAGTAATTCACGCGAGTCATCAGTGTACGGCAATTTCCGCCAGGGGTGAGGAGCACAAGCATGATGTGGGTTTGTTGTAAGTTTGTGAGATGGAAAATGCTGCATTCTCCGGTACGTGTATCATTTTCAATTGTTCTGTGGTTGAGGTTTGAAGATGATCGAAGGGACGCCTGAACTCCTGACAATGACCTGGTATTGCTTCCCGAATTTCCCCATCCCATCCGAGATTTCCACCACTTAGCAGACCCATTGCAAGCATGTTTCCCCGGGCTTCGCGCACACGCCACACGGAGAGTTGCAGCATGTTGTTCCTGTCGGGCAAATGACTGAGCCGCACGTCTCTGCATCGGCTGGTACGGTACCGTTAGATTGGCAACCGACGGGGTGCTCCAACTTGAAATCGAAAACTTTGCAGTAGGAGTTTTCGGGGCAAGCGACGCCGGCGCAGCGATCTTGCGCGGGTTCTCCTTGCGGGGTCGGGGCCGGGGCGGCGGAGGCGGCAATGGCGAAGACGCCGACGATAAGCGAGTGAAGGAACATCATGTTGATGATTTGGGTTTGTTGGTAAAAGAATGACTGGCCGAGTTGGAATCGAGCGTTCTTGTGCTGAAGATAAATGAGTGAATGGCTTTGAGGAACACCTGAACCTGTTCAAGATCAGGCGGCAACGTCAACCTTTATGGTCCAAAAGTGAAGGATTCAACCCTCATTGTCGGCGAGCAGTAAGTTTGGCGCGATTCAGGGAACAAATATAGTTCATTGTTTGAGAGTGATTAAATGCCGGCGACAACTGGTTGTCTCCAGTTATATGAAAGGAATGGGCTAACTTTAAACAACGGCACGGGCGTTGACCAACTCACGGACAAAGCGTGCTAGCTAGTGTATAAGGTCCGAGAACAGACCCTATAGGCTAAAGGGATAGGAGTAAGCAGCACCCGGCATGTTCGGACGAGGATGATGATCGCGTCTTGGCAGTTGAGAAAAGAGATGGATTAGATTAGCTATTGAGTAATTAATAGATTCATGCCTCAGGGGCAGCTAAGTTTGACGTTTCCCCCCTCCCCATTATACGTCCTTCATTACTACGATCCTCCATTTTCCAATCTGTGGGGGGGAGCTATCCAAGCCTCCTTTTATCCCCATGTTATTAAGATATTACTAGTTCGTCACCGAGAGCTACCGTAGTGTTTTTGCGAGTGCCGGCTTGCTAGATCGGGCGCCCCGTCTCTAAAGGGACGGGATCGACAGCAGGGAATTTAGACAGCAGGGACTGTAGGAGGAGAGACAGGCACGCAGATGGGTGCGCCATTCTTCTCCTTGCAGACGTAGTTGGGAATGCATTGGACGGTAGAGCAGCTGAGAATTCCGGTCGGGGCAGGGATCAATGAGATCAAGGTGGTGGGGTTGATAGGAAGGATCGGGAGGGCGCGAAGAGGCAGAACCTTGGCGTTGATGGGCTCGCCCTTGACGTTGACGGGAGGAATGGCGGGCAGAGTAGGGGCGGCGGGCAGGTCGACGGAGCTCGGGACGATGTCGCGGGGAATTGCAGGAATAACAGGAGCAGGCAGAACGACGGGGGCAGTGAGGGAGAAGGTGACAGGTGCGACAGTGGGAAGCGGGACTGCGATTTCGCGTTCGGCCAACTTCGCGGGAGGAGTCGTCAGAGCAGCAAACAAGGAGCCGATGACCGCGGAAGCATCGACAGGCAAATCGCGCTTTAAGTTGAGCTTGGCGAGAGGGCTAGGCAGGGTAGCGAGGATGCTGCTGATAACCGCGGAAGCATCAATGGGCAAGTCGCGCTCCGGAAGCTTGGGAATGGCGGTAGGCAGAATGGCGACCAGAGAGCTGAGAACCGAGAGGTCAATGGTGGGCAAGCTGCGCTCGAGGTTCAGCTTCACGGAAGGGGTGGGCAGAGCAGCGACCAAAGAGCTGATGATTGAGGCGTCGATAGCATGCAAGTCGCGCTCGAGGTTCAACTTTGGGATGGCGGTGGGGAGAGTGGCAAGAATGCTGCTCAGGATGGTGGCGTCAACGGTAGGCAGGTCGCGCTCCAAGTTCAACTTCGGGGTGGGCAGAGCGGCGACCAGCGAGCTGAGGATCGAGGCATCAACGGCAGGCAGGTCTCGCTCGAGGTTCAGCTTTGGGACGGCGGTGGGCAGAACAGCAAGCAGGGTGCTGAGGACCGAGAGATCGATGGTGGTCGAAAGGTCGCGCTCGAGGTTGAGCTTGGGGAGACCGGGGAGCGCAAGGGAGGGCAGTGTGACCTCGACCGGGAGACTGGTGATGGCGGGAATGTCCCGCTCAACGACAACGCCGGGGGCATTGGGGACAGCGATACCGGGAAGAGCAACCGTGTAAGGAGCGACTTTAACAGCTGGCAGGGTAGGAAGGGGAGGGTTAGCGATTGAGATATCCCGAGCGTGCCTGCGGATTGGGAGTGCGATGGAAGTTGAGGGCAGAACAGGAAGCTCAATGCTGATGGAAGGAATCGCCGGGATCTCTCGGGGAACATTGACGGCGGGGAGAACAGGGAGGCCAGTGGCCTCAACGTTGACCGATAGCGAGAGAAGAGAAGACAGGATTGGGAGGTCCCGAGGGATAGTCAGATCCGGGATCTCAACGGTCACTGAGACAGTAGAAGCCGGGACAGCCACGTCAACGGAAAGAGTCGGCAAAACTGGGAGTACCGGGGGTGCAAGAGTCGGAGCCGTAAGGCCGCGGGGGATGTTCAGGTCCGGAACTTCGATGGCCAACGAGATGGTTGAAGCTGGAATGTCAACATCGACAGACAATGTCGGTAGGGCTGGTAGCGCAGGAGGTGCGAGAGTTGGAGCCGCGAGGCCGCGGGGGAGATTGAGACTCGGAAGAGAGAGGAGAGCAGTGGGAAGAGCCGGAAGATCAATGTCAGGAACGCCGCGGGGAGCGTTGACAGTAGGCGGGGTCGGGAGCTCGACATTGGGAAGAGTTAAGGAGAGAGAGACTGGTTCGAGCTTGACCGCGGCAGGGCCAATGGAGTCAGCGATGCCGGCTACAGCTTCGGGCTGAGGAGCAGGCGCAGGATTGGCGGCGACACCAAAAGCCAGGGCAAAGGTGGTAAGAGTGCGAATGGAAGCCATCTTGAGATGTTTGAACTGTTGATTCAAGGAACCTTTGCTGAAGATGTGAAGATGTCGGAGTTGCTGTGGCGAGTGAAGAAGAAAAGAAGGGCCCATGATGGAAATCTTGAGTTATTTTATACTCAATATCTCAGGCTTCTCAGTCCTGCTGAATCCCACGATATTCCCAATTCAGACAACATTCTAGTGATTGATTGACGAATGCAGTCATAGCTGGAATCAATTTTGCCGTTGTCAACATCCCCAAAGACTGAAGAATCGTCTCCTCTGTTGCCAGACTCGAGCCGAGACACAACGCACCTTTGAGCCATCAGAGAGACATCTTCCCAACTGGATGGATCACAGAAATCCGGAGGAATGGCTTGAGACGGGAGAAGGTCTCGCCAGGTTGTACAAGGCCGTTACTGGTCAAGTAGGACAAGCCTAAGTCCGCCGATGTCTCAGCCCGATCAGAGACACGGCGTAAGCTCCCTTTTGCCAGCCCATCGGTAGTTCCCGTTAGCTAGCCGCAATAGCCTGCCTCAAAGGCACAAGAAATGACGGAATCGCGCAGTTTTGATCGCATGCAGCCTTGCTCAAGAATGCGGCAAATCTGATCGGGGATCGTACAACTGTCGGTATATCGCGATGGTGGCGGTAACAATACCGCTGGGCAAAGTCTATGTGTACGATGAGCGAGTTTTGAGCAAAGAATGAGCAGCACAGATAGGTATTCGTTCTGGAAACTCCTACATACTAGGATGGGATCGACATGGTGGAGGACCCAAGAGCCAAGCAGGTGGGAGGCACGCAGGCACGCAGGTTACACAATGCCGGTATGGCGATCACTCGTGCTCCCATGGCGATCACTTGCAAGGGGAGGTTATCTGATTTGCTGGACTTTCCAGCGGCAGAATCAAGTGTAAGACATTCAACTGTATTCGTCACATTCGCCGTGATCTCGAGACTGTCCGCCCCCTCACCCTTCAAATACCACTGACTGAGACAGAGAGGACCTAGATCAAGCCAAAGGGGGGGTTCTCCTCCGCCCATCTCCACACGTCGGGATTTCCCGCAGTCAAAGCAAGCAACTTCCGTTCCCAGTACCCCGTCAAAGGCTCCTCGGGAAGCACACCAGCCAGCGGGAAGGCGTTGGGATGTTTGCTAGCCAATACCCATTTCCATTGGCTGTCTTCCTTCTGGACCGGATAAGGCTTCAAGACATCTCCCTCTGCGTCAAGATCCAACTTCCTGGTCTTGCCGTCTTTGACACTATCTGCCTCAGAGGCGTTAAGCCCGGAGCCGCGTTCCAGCTTCCACAGTCCACTCCCGTCATCAGCTGTGGCCAGAGCTTTGCAGTCCCAGACCCCATCATCGTCCATAGCAAGGCCTTGGCAAGCCAGTCTGACCCGCACGCTACTGTGGATTCTCTCGTTGGTGTTGAGCAAAGGCTGGTCCGTGTCTTGGTTCGTTTCCGGGTCCGTACGCATAAAGGTCCCAGGGTGACGGATTGTGGTTCCTGACCAGGTCTGGAGGCGGCTCGTCGGATATCGGATTTGGCCTAGTCCCCACGGACGAGCGGTTTTCCAGAGCTCTTCTGCACCACCGGCGGGATGGCGATCTTTTCCATCACATTCAGCCTCATCCCGATGGATGCTTGATGCCTTTACCGGACATATCTTGGGATTCGCCCACGGCAGTTGTTGCCTCGGCCGGAGCCATGATGACCAGGAGCTGGGCACATACGAGAATGGGTGTCCAGCTGAGAACCGAAGTCCCTCAGTGAAAATGTCTGACATACGACCAGGGTTAAACTCCACACCAACGCTTGATAGTTGATCACACATCCCTTGTTTTTTCTGTCAGTTTCTATCGAAAAGCACACACCATGGCATGGGCTACATACAAGCTAGAGTGATGCTGGCAATTTGTTGCTCATGCCATCCCCCGCCTACACCGGCATGGTTACCAGGAAACCAAACCTGTCGGAGATTGGTCTTATTGCCCTCAAGCTTTTCCCAGAGTGCAGGGCGGAATGCAAACCGGGGTTCGTCTAGAGACAGAGCATGGAAGGCGTTTTCTACGCGGTCGGATACCTGAGTGTTGCTGAACTTCCATGTAGAACTTCTATGTTAGCGGTATTCAATTTCGGAATGCTCATATCAGAGAAAAACTTATTGATTTGATGTCCCCTGGAGGCCAACGACCGGGGCCGGGGGAATGCCCAAGGCGCCGACGGTATCCCATACGCCAACCGCCTTGATGTTGATCTCGTGCACGCCATTTGCATCTTCGTACGTGCGCCTTGTGAGGCCATTCTGAATCCTATCAGTATCACATCTTGAGGCGAGGCACTTCAGCAGCAGGACATACCTTGGAAAGCCATCTCTCATACTGTGATTTCCGATCCATCTCCCAGTTAGCCCGGGCTGCTCCTTTCTCACCGTTATAGGGAGGTACTTTTGGGTCCAAGAATAAACTCGGATCACGATCAGAGTCGCCCATGTTCTCATAATCTTCAAAGATGGCGTAGAAATGATCCAAGCCCGAAGGAGTTAGCAAGCCGACCGTCGCAATCATATCGGCGACAGAGCGCGCCGTGAAGGCGCCGCGGGAGAAGCCTATAAGGATGATGTCGTCTCCATCGACGTAATTGGTACATATAAAATTGTAGACCTCGCGAATGGCCTACGGAAAGCATTAGCTCCCTATCAAAGGAGAATGACAAGTCGCAATGGGCTTTACCTGGCCAAGTCCAACCCCAAATAGTCCACCTGTGAACTTGTCGACTACGCTGTCTGAGCTGCCAACGCCAGGATGATACATGATAATTTGGTGGGTGCCATCTTGACAGGCTCGCCGAAGGATCCGAGATATTCTTGTCACGTTAGATTGCGGCTCAGCGCTTTGCGTGCCGGTTAGCTGACGTTGAAGCTGTCGCGGGAGACAAAGGTCAGTTTACCCCTTGCTGCCTAACGAGTCCATCCACGTTCCATCGCAACACACAATCAAGCGCTTGTGAGCGCCACGAGGAGTAGAAGCCATGTTTCTAGGCACAGGTGGGCATTGATTTTCGAAGATGAGCGTTAGTTTTCTTTTCGAGATGAATGGAGATCCAAAGCGTTCAAATAGCGCGGGGTTTGTGCACGGCTCCCAACCTCAAGGTGGCATGCAAGGGGGTTCAGCTTGGCCTTCATATCGGGTCTTACCTTAGTGTGAGTTGGTGGCTGTCTCATTGCATACAGCCGCAGCTGAAACTTTGAAGTAACTAACCGGAGCTCCAATAACACCTGCGATGTCACTGATCGTTCTTGAGGCAGAGACATATCAATCGTGCTTCGTTGAACAATGTTTAAAAATGCTATTCGGTACAAAAAGATCGAGCTGAGAGAGCGACATGCATTAAGGTGTCACCGATGTTCACCTGTCGTCAATGTAGATCATTTACCTTTTCAATTTCGCCACAGAAATGCTGTACAACGAAAGGCCGCCCTTGCTGAAAAGGTCATCGTCACTAATAATCATCATGGCTGGGAGCTTTTCAAACGCCCTAGAGATAGTCGCTCATTCGGTGGTCTGCAACCTCGAATAGGCTTTCATGTGAATGATTTAGGCTGCGAGACCAAAGTTGACTGGTCGGCACGCAAATCATCTTCCAAGATTTTCGCAGAAGGTAGTTTGATGGCTCAAAACTCTCTAGGTAGACCACCCAAAAGGCAGACCAACAAGGTAGAGCCGTTGTTTTAGCCACTTCTGACATGCATCGACCGATGTTCTAGACCGACGGCTCTGGTACCAACCTCCCATTTGGTATGGCAGGTGCTCACGCGGCTAGTCGCAAAAGTCACCCAGCTTGGCCACCTATGCATCTTGTCAATGCAGGCGTGATGAGAAATGTTGAATGAGTACAGGAAGGCGTTCCTGTACTCATAGTTTGAGGATGCCATCCAGACTAGAATCAGCGACTCTAATGCATAGAGAGGTCTACGTGACACTAGTCTACCTGTTTTAGTACAAGAGAAGATCAGTGATTAAACCCCAGTTCTTGGTACTCCTGATGCGAACAGCACAGAAACATTTGCGCGTTCCGATCAACGCTATATTATGTCGTTAAACTTGCAAGTAAGTATCAAGTACCTTGAGAAAGTGACACAGAACACGTAAAGTACATGCCAATAAGAGAAGACTTAGACAAATCGGCATACAAAATCTTTCTTTCAGTTTAGCACATCGAAACTCATTCTATTCTTGCCTACGGCGCTCAATCATCTTTAGTCTTTCTAAATACGACAGATCCTGTACAACTAGCCATCTTCAACTATTCTGAAACCAAATTGCGTCAAGGAAAACATGCGACAAGTAGCCAACCACATATGCGAAACCATTCCTAGGTACTAGCCCTTGGTAGAGGGAAGTGCATCAAACTACGACTCCTCCCTCAGTTTATGCAGCAATCGGTGTCATTAAGACAAAGAGTTCGTCTTCTAGAGATCCTGGTGTGTGGCGACCGTAGGTCTCAGGGCGGGCGATTTGGACACTGAAATTGGAGAACAGACCAGCCAAAATGTATCCGAACACTGAGGTCGAGTTAGCATCTTCCTGGGAATCATCGATACCTATCGCAGAGCGAGGATGCATATATGTTTGCCACATGGAGAGATGACTTACGATAGTACGTCAGTTGTGTTCCTATACAAGCCCTCGGACCGGTGACGAAGGCCCAGAGAGGAGGCATATCGGTCCTTTCTGCGCCATTCGGGTCCAGCCAGCGTTCAGGAACCCAGGCGTTTGGCTGTGTCCACATTTCAGGGTTCCGGTGCAAAAACCATTGGAAGCAGTTGACCCGAGTGCCCGCTGGAATACCGTCGACTCCCGAGATGCTCACAGATTTATCGTGAGGTGTGATGCGTGGTAGCGGGGTGCTGTTGGGTCTCATGCGCAGAGACTCCTTGATGACAGCCTGCAGATATGCGATCGACTCAATTGTTTGAGGCGAAGGCAGACTATTAGCGTCACTGTGACCGACTTGATTCACGTGCATTCCGAGTCCCGCAACCGCATGCTTCAACATTTCTTGCTGAGCTGGATTCTGAGCAAGATAGTAAACCGCGTAGGCAAGAACGAGGCCTGATTAGTCAGATTAGCAGGTAAAAGTAGCTTGAGTGAAATTCCAGAAACTTACCAAAAACCTCGCGAGCGCCGGCTACAATAGACAGAGATTCGTTAGTGACAGATCATTGAAGGAGTTCGGTTACCTTACACATGTGATCAAAAATTTCACTGGCGATAGAGATTCTAGACAACTCTTCCGACGCCTGCATATCGAGGAATTTGCCGTCTTTCAAGTTAGACATAGCCTTTCGTAGTTGATTGTACACAACTGGGATGTCTTCCGCAGGAGGCTGCTCGCCGTTCTGCATGCGTCGATACATTGCCTCAGACTTGTCGCAATGCTCCAACATCCAGTTCTCGATCCACTCGGTCGACTCATAGTGCTTACGAGGCATCACATCGAGTCCGATCTTACGAAGCCCGTGATAGAGTTTGGGGAGTTCCTGAAGCCAGAAACCCTGAGGACTGTATCTGTTCTCGTAGTGCTCCAGCCACATCTCTGTCAACTCAGGGTTTCGAGTAAAGTCGGGTCCGCTGGAAAGACCCAAAATGTAACAGTTGAGCATGTCCAACCCTGAGGCATAACAGAGTCTCAGAAGCTCTACCGGTTGTCCGTGTGCAGAGTGATGTTGGAGGACTGGGATGAGACGTTGGTACATGATGCTGTGAGTTACTTTGCTCAGCGTCTCGGAGGCAAAGAGTGTCGTCTTGGAGTAAGACGAGGAGACCCGTCGGCGGCATGCGGCATGGTCTGCTCGGCTCCGGCTGGCAAAAGAGTTCCGCTGTCTAAAACACAAGTAGGTTAGTAAGTGAAACTGCCACAACTTGGGGGTATCAGAACTGTGAGAGTGGGATTGAGCAATCGTCGGAATTGATGCTAACACTTACCCATAGTATTGGAAGAAATCGAAGTATCCCGGTTTTTCGAACCCGGCGTTGTAGACTTGACGAACACCAGTCTCATAGTCGCTAATGCTGATCTCTTGCGGCGCGACTCGTACAATCTTGCCCAGTCTTTTATGAGCTGCGAGAACAGCTTTCAATTCCTTCCCATGGTAGCGCTGCCAAAGAATCCAAATGGGACTGAAAGAGCAAGTCCAGTGAGCGGAGGGGACTTTCGAAAGACCTCCTGTGAAAGTTCGGTACACAAGTTGGAACAAGAAGACTCCAAGAAGCAACAGGATAGCCACGAATGGCAGCGCCGAGTCGAGTATCAGGAAAGGCATGTCGGCGGTCTTGGGTGGTATCGGTGTCTTGACCCAGTCTTCGATGACCTCTGACTGACTTCTTGACATGATAGTCCTGTTTATTTAGGCACATGTTGACATATTCTGAAAATCATCATTCTCTTCCGCTGACTGTGCATCAGCGTCGACCTGGAGGTCTCCGAAAGCTATTGCGTGAGAATGCAAAACTTCAAGCCATGATCAGTTCCTCGCATCAACACGTTGTCTACTTCTCGTGTCATTCCCAAAATTCGGGATGACATGCATGCACAGACAAAACTCAAAAGCGTTGGCAGATCCACCGGGGGTGCCCCCTCCTTGGGTCTTCTCAACATGCCAGGATCAGGATCCATTATACATATGCAATGTCAGCTACGACGTGTATTCGTAAGAAGTCTGGAACCTGACGCCGACATGGATAGCCTACGTTGCATTCAATGGTGTAAGGAGAGTGCCAAGTCGTAAGAGAGAGCGAAGGTAACTGAAGAAAGATTCATTCTAAATGCGGTGGCGGTATTCTTAGTGAGCAACAGTAACGGCTCTCATGAATAAGCGGACCACGGTGTGTTCTTGAAAGCGACGTTCTTGGGGTAGATTAATTGTCTCGCTGGCAGACTCGGGTGAGTCAGGTCTAATTCTCTCAGTGAAGCGGCGTTGAGCATTGGGGCCAGTCTATTTACGTGGTAAGGAGCTGTGTTCCTTGGGTGGTATAGACGAGCAGCGGATAAAAGTGTCGTGGAAAAGGCGAAAAGACAGCAGACAGCCTTGCAAACATGAGTACATGTACATAGAGGTGTTGATTATCTGATAAATGTGAATAATCGAGTCCTGCCATAACTTCTTGGGTTCATCACTCATCTTGCGTACCTAGCGTAGTCTGCATATCGCATGGGCTCGTGGTTCTGCCCATCAATCAGCCCCATCCCATAGCTATCCGGTTCTGCATCAGGTACCTCTCCATATGTCTTCATCTTTTTCCGGTCGTTCTTGATTCGATTCTTCTCCTCCTTGGCTGCCTTGCGCTCCACCTTAGCTGCCTTTCTTACCGCCTTTTTCTCCTTCTTCTCCTTACGCTTCTGTCGGCATCCTTTCCTGGGGAACTCGCTATTCGTACCCTGAAGGACTCGACCAGGATGTATGACGGCGAGAATAAGCAATGCCAACATCATGGGGAAGGCGTCTAGGGCATATGCGTATGCTTCTGTGAAAGGTATTGGGTTCTCTTCAGGAGTCATGCCTCCGGTAAACTCGACGAGACGGAAGATGATCCGGGCCTTGGCGTGCCAATAGCCGTCAGTCAAACTGCGTTCAAAGGCATCGTAGAGGGCAGGATGAGGGTAGGACTAACCGTGATTGCAAGCAAAGCTGCATAAAGTGCAAACTGAAGGGCTTTCCAGTTCCGTCGTGGCATGTAGCCTTCTTCATCCTCGCGGTCGTACGACCCGCCTTCCAGTCCGTACATATCTTCCCTGTTCATTTGTAGAGCACGATAATGGAAGCGAGCCATCAACATCAAGAAAACCACAATGAAGCCCTCTTGAACACCCATGCCGATGATGTAGATCTTGACCCCCTTTGCCCTTGTAGTAGGCTCTACTGTTGGGCCAGCCATGACACCTCCCGTGGCCTGCACGATGAATGTGGCGATGTCGGCAACGACGAAGATGCGTCCGAGCCATCTTGCTGGAATGTAGCAAACTCGAGGCTCCCCGCCTGGTCGGAAGAAGTAAACCATTCGCGCAAATGTCATGTAAACAAAGGCGTTGAGCCATACAGGAGCCAACAGGAATAACACCTGATGGCCTGTGGCGTACCCCTGGGCTTGTTGATCTTGCGAGCCATATGCGTGAAGAATGAATGCACCCATTTCCCAGCTTGCCGCCATAAGAACTGTCCATGTGAAAGGCTGTCCGGTGATTGATGTAAGTACTTATACTCCTCACTAACTTATTCCGATGGATGGCATTGCTCTTGGTGGAAACAGAGGAAGACTTCAAGGGGAGTCTCGGATGTATCATCATACCTTTCGGTACCATATCGCTTCGATAAGATGAACTAAAGTCAGAACACCAAATATCGAAGCTGTTGCAATCGCAGGTGTCAATTCGGGATGGAAGTTGTAATTTGAATTGCAGGCGTCCCAAGGAACCGCTCCATTCGGTCCCGGCACCGCACTCGTGCAGTCTGTTCTCGGAGGATCATCATCGCCATCGTCCCGAATTATCAGCGTTGGTGTTGGGAACATTACGCTTGCTTCGGTAGTGCCAAAGGAAAATAAGAAGAGAAAGATGAGGATGAACAAATACTAGTCTTTACAGCGAGCAAACATAGGAGGACGTCTGATCTGGTGATCGTTGTGTCTAGAAAATGTGGATCGGCTGTTTTTCCACTAGATATTATTGACGACTTTGTCAAACCAATCCTTCAAGTTGGCTTCGATATCCAACTTAAAGATGCTGGGCACTGAGAGACTATCTCAAAGCGGCATTGACTACGTTCCGAGAGTTTAGGGTGCCAAGGCTGGTGCCTAGAGGGAAAGCAAGTTGGTCGACCTCTGTGTCTCGCAAATGACGCGTCCTCCCTACAGCACCGCCGGCGACTCGGCATGATCGACCCTCCATTGATCCTCCGGGGTCACTTCTAAGCGGGTCTAGTTGTAACAGACCACTATCCAACCAACACGAGAAACGTGTGCAACAGGGGTAAGGGGTCTGAAATGTGACGACGGTTAGCGACTTTTTGAGCTTTTGTGGTGACAATGCTTCTTTTTACAGAAGAAGCTTTGACGAGCCATTGGTTCAAGTTGATTCTTACAAGAAAGCGGACTTTGGCTGGGCGGTTACTCCGTCTCTTGATAACGCCAACCTGTGTTTGTTGACCTAAAAAAGCCTTTCTCCGATTCTGTGTACCAACCGTGGAATCATCGTCTAAGACCCGATCATCGAAGTCAGCTCCTGACAATACAAAAGAGACTCAGTGTTCCCTTACGTGGTTTTAAAGATAGAGCCAAAAGTGTCAGATCTTTCAGATGGTGTGTATTTCAGGTAATATCAATATTGCAATATAACCGCCGGGGAGATTATTTCTACCCTGCCATGCCTTCGCCTCTTTCTGTAAAGTAGTCTATGAATCCTGTATTGCAATACTCGCATCCATGTCTAAGAGTTCTTGGCGCTAGCCATACCCCTTGGCTTACAACTAATGTGCCTCTCCCCCCTCTCAAGGAAGTTGAGAAATGATTTTGACCACCGCATCGCCGAATTGGCTTGTTGTCGCCGTTCCCCCCAAGTCCGAAGTCCGGATACCAGACTCAATCGCATCGCTAACAGCCTTGCAGATAAGATCAGATGCTTCGGGCATGTTGAGAGAGTAACGGAACATCATGGCAACAGAAAGGATCATGCCAACAGGATTGACCAACTGCTTCCCGGCGATGTCTGGCGCGGATCCATGAACTGGCTCATACAAGCCTTTGATCATGCTGCTGCCGGATTGCGGTGGGATACCTCGCAAACTAGCGCTGGGGAGAAGACCAATGCTGCCAGCAATGGCGCTTCCTTGATCACTAATGATGTCACCAAATAGGTTGCTCGTCAACACGATGCCGTTGAGCTTGGTCGGGTTGCAGGCCAGAGTCATGGCGGCACTGTCCACAAGCTGGTGCTCGAAACGGACATCGGGGAACTCTTTGCTCAAGATTTCGGTGACGACGCGACGCCAGAAGCTGCCGCAAGCTGCGAGCACATTTGCTTTGTCAAGGCTGATGACGGGCTTAGGCGGTGTTGTTAACCTAGCCAGGTTGCCAGCCAACCGCGCCGCTCTTGCAACCTCTTCATAGGTGTACTGGTCCGTATCTTTGGCAATGAGATCGCCGCGCTCTCGGTGCCCAAAATAAATACCACCAGTAAGCTCGCGAACGATGAGAATGTCAGTGCCTCTGCAAATTTCGGCTTTCATTGGCGACGTGTCAACTAGGGACGGGGCGGGGAAATTGATCGGACGCAGGTTGCCGAATGCATCTAGTTCGCGGCGCAGAGTTCCGAGACTCGCGGCTTCAACGGATGGAACCTGTCCAGCCCATTTCTTTGGAGCTCATGTGGTCAGCAAGGCGGTTTGTCGAAGGCGGTACCGGCATGGGTGTCTTACAGGGCCACCGACTGCGCCTAGAAGGATTGCATCGGCCTCCTTTGCATCTTGAAGAGCTTCGGGAAGGATCGGCTTTCCGTGGAGATCAAATGATGCCTGTAACAAAAAGGGTTAGAAAGCGTAACAATACGCGGTTTGGCAGAAACTTCGATGTCGACATACTCCGCCTATGGGGTGATGCGTTAGGTTGAACCTGATTTCGGGGTGGCGGAGGGCGACTTCATGAAGGACCTTGAGCCCCTCAGACATGACCTGCATTTATGATTAATGACTGGACTCATCCGCCTCAAAGGGTGTGTGGGTGAACTGGGGAAGTTGAGCATACCTCTGGCCCAGCGTAATCTCCACCAAAAACAACGATCTTGAACGTAGCAGACATTTTGACAAATTAAAATTTCTCGGTGGTTTGGCTGAGAAGTTAGATGGAAAAGCGATTGAACAGAATTGCACAGAACTGCTGAATCTTCGTAAATGAGATCTAGATCGAGTTTTTCTTCTTCAAGTATACACATGGCTCCCAATTGAATTTGTCCATTCTCATGCTTGGTTTTGCAATTGTTTCCTTCGAGCCGAGCTCGGCCGGACAAAACTTGAGGGTTCATGATGTTGACGCTGCTTGCCTGCCGGACAATGCATTGGAAGTAAGCAGTTCCAGTGACAGAGAGAGAAGACTGTGCATTCAGGCTGAGGATGTGACGGGAATGCGAATCTATCCGAAGATCAGGGGCTCACCCGCCCTGCGAGTATGATGATTTTGCTGACCTTGCATATGGCCCTGGTCCCGGCTAGTCGACCGTCTTACGATATTCCAACGAAGAAACAAGGGTCCATTAGTCTTTTGGCCCTGGCGCCCCAACATAACCCCCTTCGATTCAGTCAATCGGAACTCGGCGGCAAGACAATACTGATTATAGGCATCCTCCGTGTGACCGTGTCACAAAACCCCCGAGAAAGTTTAAATCCCCAGGCCCACACAGCCGTCCCCAACGGAACCACGGAGCAGCGCGTACAGTCAAGGGACTTTGCATACGGCACAGCCAGTTAAGATTGGAGACGGGCTCAATGAGATACTATGGCTAGAGAACTGCTACTACAGATAGTGCCGTTCCCGATATGCCGGACAACGCGTTGCAAGACTTCCACAGCTGTATGGTCAAGCGGCAAATGCTCAAGCTAGAGATTGTGGTCAGACGCTGACAGTCAGCTGTTGAAGATAACCAACTTGAGAGTGCGGATTAACGTAATTAGCGTCTCGTTCCCGGAACCAAGCATTGCAGTACAATAGAGCCGTATTCGAGCGTGATTCAAATGAGGGCTATCGTCACTTTGGTTAACTCCCATTGGTGAATTAAGCTGTCATTCTATCACTACAACTTTTCTGTAGTGACTTGTTCTACCGGCTGTCGGCACCACAATTCTCTTTTTTCTTGCGAAACATCTGCTACCATGGGTTCTATTCCCGCATACTCTTCAGCGCCTGGCGAGAGCGAGAGCGAGATCCTCTTCGGAGTTCGTCAGCCGAAGACGGACGTAGAATGGAGCAAGATCGGCTTTACGCCTTTTCAAGGTCAGTCCATTTGTGAATGGGGTCACTATGGTCTGATGTCAGCCAACATGGTGCAACCGATGACACCCGTTAAACGAGCTTTTGGGTTGGATGGGTGGTGATAACAGTGCTTAGTAAACGGCCACATCGAATGCACATTTACAGTCAAGTCCGGCACTTGGAGCCAACCGCGCTGGGTACAGGAGCCTTACCTAAAAGTTCACGGCCTGTCCCCAGCGCTTAATTACGGGCAGCAGGCCTTTGAGGGGCTACGCGTCTTTCGCAGCGAGTCAGGTAGCGTCCAGCTTTTCCGGCTAGCGAGCCATGCGGCCCGGTTCGCGCGGTCTGCCGCTGCCGTTGACATTCCGGCCGTCCCGGCCGACTTGTTTGCCAAATCGGTGCGGTTGGCCGTTCAACTCAACAGCGATTTTGTACCTCCGTTCGAGGGTGGGTGCTCCATGTATGTGCGTCCAGTCGTCTTTGCAAGCAGCCCGACTATGAACATGTACACGGCGGAGGAGTACACGTTCGCCGTCTTGGTCACGCCGGTCGGGCTGTTGTATGGGGCAACGGGCCTCAGAGCGTTAGTTGTGGAGGGATTCGACCGTACGGCGCCGAAAGGCACCGGCGCCTTCAAAGTCGGTGGGAATTACGGGCCCACCATTCCGATAATGGGACGGGCACGAAAGCAAGGTTACGGCTTGACGCTCCACCTAGACGCCGAGACGCAGTCCTTCATCCACGAGTTCTCTGCTAGCGGCTTTATTGGAATCAAGGCAGAATCTGCGGAGACTGGAGCTCCGCCTACGATGGTCATTCCCAAAGACGAGCATATCCTCCCAAGTATCACAGTGGACAGCGTGGGACAAATTGCCCAGGAACTTGGATGGAAGGTTGAGAAGCGTCCCGTAAGTTTTGAGTTCCTCGTTTGATCCACCACCATGAGCCAACTGCTCCCTCAACGTTCCATGTGGGGGAGGACCGAGATCTCGGCGGAAGTCTTTGAGTTTTATGGGAGATTACCGCTAATAATGTCCCGGCGCCATGGCTTTAGATCCCGTTCACTGATCTTGGCGACTTTTCTGAGGTCTACACCGTCGGCACCGCATCATCGCTGGTGCCCGTAAGCGCCATTGAGCGCGAGTCGACTGGCGAGCGGTTCGCGTTTACCGTCGATGCGCAGTCTCCGCAATCCGCTTATGCCAGGTTGACAGACAGGTTGCAAGGAATCAAGCGGGGCCTGTATAAAGAGCCGTGGGGTTGGGTGGAAGAACTCGATGGCGTAGCTTTGCGCAATGACATTGAGCGGATCACCAACACTGGGTCAGTGAAGTCTCCGGAGTAACTTTCGGTACCGAGGTCTTGAGACGGTGAACGACTCACGTTTTTTGTTTTTGGATTTGTAGGTATCATACAAAGCGGATAGACTCCAACTGTGGCCAGTGGGCGGAGATGGATAGAGTTGCGCATTGCTCAAGATAGATTGCTTTCCCAAGCCCATCAGGGTTATTCCGCTCAAATACGCAGTACGAATACGTATGGAGCTTTGCTGTGTGCTTTCGTTTCTTAAAAACCGGGCCGGTGGGCATCCCCTTGAAACCTACCAAGGCGTGCTCCGTGTTGACTCCTGGTGGAATCAATAGGGGACTGGGTATCCGTAATATATCGTGATTTCAGGAGATGGATCCACGAGTAAGATGCTCGAGCTACGGGCGTGTTCATTTTGCGGGGGTCTTGGAGACTTGAAGTATTACAGCTATCCCACGTTGCATCTATAATTGTGTTCTAATGATTTCGAGTGACAGCGCAAACATTACCCAGGAAGAGTATCCTAGTCGTTGAGTCAGTCAATCCACTAAACTCGGGCAAGCTAACTAGAATGTCGGTTCTAGAGCAGGTAGCCAAGCGTTGCAATGCTCCTCTACAGACATGACTTAGGCCAATCATTCTACCATGGATACGATGCGATCACATCTTCGGCCGCTGTTTCGCAGTTTGCCTCGCTTGCAGAAAGACATACCTTTGCTACACTACTTCAGGTATTGGCGATGTGGGATATAGTTTCCGATGAACAGCCGTTGTATTCGCTCGAGTCAGTCACCCGCCTACATCGTACCACAGCTGCTTGCGATCCAGAAATGCCATACGGAACATGCAGCATGGCCAGAATTTGGCCCCGGCTTCCCCGTCTGAACCCCAGTAACAGCCATTCTAGGCCTTTAAGGTCTGCCCTGGCTCCTACTGATGTAGCCTGCAGCCACTGCAGCTACTGCTGACCAAAGATGGTGTAAGGGTCTTTTGGATATGGACCTGGACCCCGAAATTAGCTTTCCAAGGGTTTCTACACCGAGGTCGTCGCTGTCCAATGTCAATAGTCGCGCCTAGACCTACATGAAAACTTCGGAAAACAATATTCAGGATTGGGCTTACATTGCCAAGCTGCCAACACACAAGCACCGAAATCATTGACAGTCACCGAAGACGTAGCGCGCGCGCAAAAGCTTGGAGGCCATACTGATACCCGTACGGTATACGCTTACACTCTATTACTCCGTACACTAAGTACCTAGATATGGGACGACTACGGCCTGTTCAACTCCATGCCCTGCTGAACTACGGGTCGAGACCCTGCATAAATCCAGCCCCTTCCACCATCCGTAGAGCCCACATGTGCATGATCACCATGCCATGACATCTCGGGCAGGTTTAGCCTTGAGTTCCTTTGCGACACCGCCCTGTGAGGCTTTGCGACCCGTCAAGACGTCGTAGATGCGTTTGCCAAATTGGTTGAAGGCATTTGTCATGCCGCCCATCTTGGTCAGTTTCTTCTCGAGCACGGACAACTGAAATTCGAATGTCTCGCCGTCGACAGTCAGCACGTTGCGATCCAGGTCGATCTCAATGTTGGTTCCTGTCTGCGCCTTCTCGTAAAACAAGGGATCGTCGATGGTGAAGCCCCACAGACCCAAGGACGGCTGGTTTCGGCTGTAAATGAACGCGAATGCCTTTGCAATCACACATTCGACACCGACGCCTAATACAGTAATGTCTGGTCAGCCCACCATTACGAGCGAAGGAACGGCACGAAGGAACGAAGGATGGTGATGATGATGATGATGATGATGATGATGATGATGATGATGATGATGATCACTTCGGAGAGTCATTTCTGCCGGCGGACAAACTCATTGACGGACAATGCGGCGGTAAGAATCGCCGAGAGCGAGGGGGCATATGTGCAAAGTAAGATGCAAAGGATTGAGGGAATGAGACTCCGACGCACCTAGTAAAGCTTGCACAGCCTCTTGACGACTAGATCCACAGCCAAACGCATCGCCAGCAACAATGACTTTGTGACCTTCCTTAACGAGCTGCCGGAATTCCGGGTTGGTGAACTCGAGGCAATGAGTGCCGAGCTCCTCGTTGTTCTTGGATGTGAGAAGGTATTGTGCAGGCGCAAGCTATTTGCGGGACGGCCCGTTAGAACATTGTTTCTTGTGCGTCTCTTTTGCTGGCTTCATGTGCGATTCGCGAATCAGAAGCAAAACAAGGGAAAGGTGGCTTACCGCATCGGTGTCAACAAAATCTCCTAGACGGAAGATCTTACTCCTAATGGTCCCGGAGCCGGGCTTAGCCTGATCGGCGGCCGCTTCCTCGCCGGACGGGCTGGGTTCCTGGTCCTCCGCGACGTCCTTCGCATCCTCTTCGGCATCTTGGCCTGGTGGCTCCACCCATTGCGGTTGGCTGAGGATACCATCGGCAAGGGACCCTTTACCCTTGACGGCGGCCCATCGATCCGCTGGGATGAGGTCAATAAGATCTTGTGGAGAAGTGACAGCCATGTCAAAAGACGACGCAGCCACCGTTGCAGCGGACGCCAAACTGCCGATAGCCCCTGTCATGCCAGTTATTAGCTTACATTGTCCAGCGTTGCACTTTCTCAGCTGAGTTTGGGTCTCGAGAGGGTCTTGAGAGGGGTTTCTGGTGCAATATCACAAAACTGCTCGCGGGTCCACCTGGAAACGGGGCATATCTGCGGGCAGTTTTGGCCAAAAAGAGACAGGCAGGGAAATAAGAACGATCGTGAGTGTATCCCACGAGACTTACCCTTGCCCATACGGTTCTCGAAATTGCGGTTCTGACTGCTGAGCCAGACTTCCCCAGGTTTGGCCATGTCAGCGCCCATTCCCACACAGTAGCTGCATCCAGGGATGCCAATGATGAAGCCCGCTCTCTCGTAAATGTCTGCGAGGCCTGTCTTTCGAAGGTAGTCGGCGATGGGGCGGCTTCCGGGGACAACTCGGCGCTCTCCTCGGGCCACCGGCTTCCTTCCCGCGTCCAGGCCAGCCTGCAGCACAAGCGCGCCCATGACAAGATCCTCCTCCGCTGTTGTGCAAGCACCGATGAAGACACCATCAAGGTGAGTACCTGCCACATCAGACACCGGCACTACATCATCGGGGCTCGGGTACTTGGCCACAAAGGGCTCGACCAGAGAGACGTCGATAGTATGTGACTCCGCATAGGAGCATCCTTCGTCGGGCTTGAAGTAGTACGATGCGGTCCTGTGATGGGCTGTTTTACGGGCATCGATAAAGTCCTTAGTGACTTCGTCGGGAACAAATATCCCTGTGATGCCACCAAACTCCTGATGTCGAGGTTAGCAACCCTGAAACTTCGTGCAAAGTGCCAAGGGTCTGCATGCCGTGCCGGCGGGATAAAGAGGAATCGAACCAGTGAGAGCAAAAAGGGTAAAAACAAAGGCAATTGCTTACGGTAGTCATGTTTGCAATGGCAAAGCGGGCGTCAGAACTCAACCATCGGCACCCGGGGCCCGTATACTCAACTACCCGATCCGCAGCCACCGTATTCCGTTTGAGCTGCTGAAGAATATAGAGGATAATATCTTTACCTCCGACTCCGCGCTGGGGCTTACCCACAAGGTGGATCTCGACGACCTCGGGAACTTTGAACCAGATCTCTCCAGTAACCAGAGCCATCGTGACCTCGGTTGCACCCAGTCCAATCGCAAGACAACCGTCGGCCCCAGAGCTACACGTGTGCGAATCCGAGCCAATGATGATTTGGCCTGGTTGGGCCCGCTCACGGTAGAACTCGGTGTGCATGATGGTGTAATTATTGCCCTGGAACTGTGTCATCTTGAACTTCTTACGAGCAAAGTCCATCTCGCCAACCAGCTTCTGCACAAGGGGCGTATCCATCAGCCTTGGATCAACCACATGATCGCCAGCCAGCCAGAAGTTGGAATTCGAAAAGATTCCAGGGTCTCCTAGCTTGTTGTAGACTTGAAGCATGCCCTAGTTCAACGTCAGCAAGCCATCCAAGCCTGTGAGGATTTAGAGGTGAGGGTAAAGTGTAAACATACATGCCAGCTAGCCTCGCTAGCCATGATCCAGTCGACAGAAACTCTAATCGTATCCCCTGTTCGGACCCATCCTGTGCGAGTCACGTCATGCAGAGCAAATATCTTCTCTGTAACATTCATGGGGCGGCGGCTGGCAGGCCGGCTTACTAGGGGAACGATCGGTCCCCCCCGTCGATCGCTGGAATTCAGACTCTCGAGCCCTGGTGAAGGAATTCGGTCCCGATCAGTTATCATTCAATAAAAGCGGCAAGGCCAGGGGTGGGCTGGAAGTTCGCGGCACAGAAAAGGAAAGGAAGTATGCTTACATGCTGATGTGAGCAGAATCAGCTCGCTGCGGTCCGTTGCGCTTGGCTCCCCGGTCCAGGTCAACCCCATACCGCCGTAGTCGGGGGACGCCGTGGCGATGCTGACGACCTGCAGAATTGTTTTCGCCTCTTTCTCCTTGCCATCTCGCTGCAGTCTAGCTGCCAAGGCAGAAAGAACAACTAGAGGGTGCTCGGAGCTTTCAGTCTCTACATCCGACGTTCCTAATCTGGATATCAGGTCTGTCTAGCGATGAACAGGGGATATGGACATTTGGATACTTACCACCGTTAGGTGTCCGCTCGTCTTTCAAGTGGAGATCTCGTGTTGCAGCCAACAGCTGCAGGAGCTGCTCGTTGAAGCTCTGTTCCGCCATGCTTGTGTGAAGTATTCAGCAATGAACGATGTGCAACCTTTGATTGAATCTTGTAGATGCTGTGTATTACTCCGACGGTAGAATGGGCGACCAAGACACAAACCTGGCCCAAGGCTTCTTTAATAGATATAATAAGGTTATCATGAGCTTCAAGATTGAATTCAAATTACCATTGATTTTTAATTCTGTCATTCACCTGGCGCTGGGAATGTCTCGTCAGCTGGAAAAGCGAAGGTCAGATTGGACGCAAAGTCATCCCATGATCCATCCGTGCGGGCGTCTGTGCAGCGTCTAAACAGCTCGTCAATCTCAATGTCTACGACAGGTGTATGTGACTTCACTGCTTCTCATATTTCAAAAGTGTTCTATTCCAGTCGTATCCAAACCAGACACGTTGTTGTGACAGACGCTGCATCGTCAGCATGTTTGAAAAGCCATGGCTGCAGGGGGGGATGAAATCATTCTGGCTCCGATGCTGCAGTGGCCGGCCCCACAGAGAAGTTCCGTCTTCGGGCGCCCTCCTCTGTTTAGTGAGTTGCTCTGTAAGCTCAACCACTTCGAATGATCGAAAGACATCAATCGTTCCATGCGTTCATCCGGAGTCCGTGTATCTACCGAGCTGGGCTAGATGGCTATGCGAAGAATCCCATGTGCTGATTTGATAGTTTGGCTCTGCTTGCTTGGCCAAGAGACTGAAATCGCACATCTCCTGAATTACTCGTGAGAACTAAGACGGGTTCACGGCATGCCTTGCTCCACAATACGAGCTTCTTTACATGGGCAGAAAAAGTTAAACATGACTTCGATGTCTTGTCTTTTTGGCGACCTGGGCGTGTGTAACGTTCAAGATACGGTTGAGGCTGACTGAGAAGCACAGGCATCAGAACGACCCGGATTTTGGCACACATGGGTCACCTTGCAATTCGGCACTACATGAGAAGTGGGTTGAGTAACACGTATAGAATGATATTGATTTGTGAACATGTTTGATAACAGGCCTATTCTACACCAGCAAACTTAGATAACCACCCAATTTGACAATACTCCTCCGTTTCCCATGCTACTCTGACTCCGTGCCACAGTTGTTTGTTTCCGTTTCTGTTACTTCCTAGCTCAGCTTCGCTCCATGTCGCAGTAAACGCTCAACCATTGCTTTGTTCCCACTTTCTGCCGCTCTGTAGAGAGGCGTGCAACCGTCCGGGTCCAAGAAGTCGACGTCAGCTCCATGCTCCGCAAGCATGGTCACCATGGGACCTTGGTTGTTTTGCGTCGCGTAGTGAATTGGGGCCAGCCCAGCTTTATCCGCGGCATTGACATCCGAACCGTGGAGGATCAGCGTTTTAGCCACATTGATGTGGCCGTGTGTTGCTGCAATGTGCAAAGGGCTTCCTTGAGTTGGTCTCGCAAACTTTCCCCATATTGTCAGCAAATGGACGTGCAAAGTAATGGAGCTTTTGATCGTTGCTGAGATTTAGGGCAGAAAAATGAAATGTGAGAGATTCCGGATGAGTACTTATATAAGAAATCCTCATCTGTGCTCTTAAGGAAGTGATGGTGGGACGAAGTGAGATATACAAACTTACCCCTAATGTGAGGATATCTTCTGTTGAAAGGTCTGACATGTCTTCGTGTCTGCTGTTCGGTGTCATGAGTGTCATGCTGGCGTCTAATGTCCACGGCTCGATGAATTCGACAGTGTTCAAGTTGTGGGGGATTCCAGCCGAATATGAGCTCGCGTCAAGGTCATCAGTGACGGCGTTTCGTTGCAGCGTCCGTGGAGCAGCTTCTCCAGACACTCCCATTTCCGAAGCAGGGAAAATTACTGCTGCCTGCCCAAAGTCTTGGGTCGACTCATGCGGCGGGGTCTGAAGTGAACCGAACGGATCGGCAAGTGCTGCGGTGTATGTGAGGTCCTGCAGAATCTCATTAGCCCAGACTCTCGTGACAATGGTACCGTAAAGACGCGTAAGCACACTTGCTGTGACCGTTGGGGGTGAAGAAGAAGCGCTTCTTGACCTCCTCGTCGTTGTTGCTGATGTTGCTGTGGATGATGACGCGACATGGCTCGTTGCTGAAGCGGCTGCTGCGGCACTCTTTCCCTTGGCTCCTAGAATAACTCGACTTGTTGGTTTCTAAACGTTTCTTCTCTATTGGATGGATGATAACTGATGATGTTGTGGCATGTGCTCTGGCATGTGCTGTGGCATGTGCTGGACTGGGCTGGGCTGGGAGTGAGGGTAAAGATAGTGAAGTGAGGGTGTAGGCAGGGTAAGGTATGTTGGTTTTGAGGTTGCATACGGGACTTTCGCTTTGCCAGTCGGTTTTGTGTTCTCCTCCGCTCGGCCGGGTTGACTGTAAGGGCCATCAAAAGAGACCTCATGTCACCCTCGCAGCTCATGGTGTTCATGGTGGCGGCAACTGTAAATAAACTACTCAGAGCACAACCTGCACTCGGTCCGTATAGCGAAGAAAATAAAGACTAAAAGAGTACGGAATGCAGTCAAGCGCTGAACTTGCAGGAAGCTGCAGAAGTATTTCTTAACCGCATCAGACACACCAGAGACAGACAGGCCTCAAGACGGGCCGCAGCGGGCAGGAACACTATGAATATCGGCAGCACGTCATGGAGTAAAGCCCGTCCTTCCGTGACACTATTCAACAACCTGGGTCTCTCGAAATCCTCCTGCACCTTAAACTTTCGCCAAGGCAGTGTCGGTGCTACCGAGGCTGAGGCGTTTGTATCCACACCGCCGGCGAGTCCCACAAGCTTCCAGGGGAAGGGGGAAGGATTCTCGCATCAAATCCTAGTGCCAGCATAGCGACCCCGGTGCCGAGATCCCGGGGAAAATGCAACGGAAGGGCTCCGCGTGGGATCAACTGCGGACATTATTCCCCGCGCCGAAGCGCGCAAACGGCCGCACCTCCATGCTCGGTCTAGGCATGCCAATACATATAGGGTTTGAACGTTTGATTGTCAGACCACGAAGGAAGCACGTTTCTTTCCTACTGGGGGAAAGCGAGTCAGCCAAGGTGTCCAAGATCAGCAGCTCCTTAATAATGCTGAGCCTAGGCGTAACGCTCTCAAACCAGACCCTTTGTGGTCTGCTGGCGATGCAATGTCAAGACACTTTGAGAAAGTTTCTTGGTCGAGCCGTTTACGAATGTTCCCGTTCGTTTTTTGTGGTACTATGCTACTCACTAAAAATGATCCTCCCCCACCGGGACCATTTTCCATGTCCCATCTCTTGACAACCTGTCAGGTCCCGATGCTACCGGTTCATCCGACTAAACACCGGCTCTGCTCATGAAACATCCTGTCTCTTTCGGAAACGGAGTTTACAGTTAAGCCCCTTCGGCAAAGCATCCTGTGTTCCCCATTGTTCCATAATACGACTTGGATCGTCCAATGCAGTCTCGAACGTGAGAAGAACAGCAGATATCAACATCTTCACCTGGAGAGTTGCAAATGCTTTGCCCAGGCATAGACGGGCACCATACCCAAATGGGATGAAAGACCGCTCCAGTCTTAACAAGCCTTCAGGCTTGACGTCTAACCACCGCCTTGGGTTGAATTCCAGCGGCTCGGGAAAGACTGACGGGTCCAGGTGCAACGCAATGGTCGAAGCGGATGCAACGGTCTAGTTTTTACATGGGTAAATGTTAGAACGGCGTGTAGAATACTGGCTTGGGTTCTATGGCAGCGGGAGTGCAACCGGCAACTTACGTATGGGGGAATGTAAACATCGCCGTATCGGGTGCCCTTGGCCAATATACGCTCGGCTCGCCCACTAGAAACTGGATTGATCCGATATGACTCTCTTATGCATGCTTCTAGAATAGGGGCTTTGTCGAGTAACTGCCAGACTGGGAGGCCGTCATCTTCCCGCGGTAGCGCCTCAATCTCAGCTCGAACCTTGGCTTGCCAGTCAGGGTTCCGGCTCAGGTGGTAGACCACATACGTCAAGGCAACAGTGACGGTAGCCTGAGCCGCGTGGAGGTTATCGATCACCTCGCATGCCACGTAGTCATCAGAAATATCACGACCAGCAAGTCGGAGATCTTGAATGAGGCGAATAAGCGACCAGTCAGACGATGACTTTGGATCAGAAAGTGAGTAAGCCAGGCGCTGCATGGCCCAAACATCGAGGTCTCGCTCCGCCGAGAGGAATTTGGATGAGCCAGTGTACATGGAAACGGCCTTTTCCATTATGTTGTGGGCGAAAGGTAGATTGAACTTGAGAGAGTTCCACATCTCGGTGTTCTTGAGCCTGGCAAGAATGTCGCGATCTGTGTAGTCTCCTTGCACAGCATGAGAGCAGTGCCTTGGTCCGTAAACCAACGCGGTGATGTTGTCCCATGCGTAGTGGTTGATGACGGGAAATACATCGATGATTTGCTCGAGCTTGGAATGTCTTTCAAGTGTCTCTCGGACTCCAAGCGCCTTTTGCCGGAGAGGCTGTTGTATCTCTGACTTGTAGATGGAAGTTGCCTGGTAGAACGCCGAAGACAATCCTCTCTTCGCCTTGTGCTCTTCATACGGCTTCTCGGCAAATATTGACCGCTCTCCGTGATAAATGAAGTGGTCAAAGTAATCGCTCTTGGGGTTCCTCTTGGAACTGCTGTAAAGGTCTCGCATAGCCGTAACGTCGGAGATTGACACTTCTCCTGGTGCAATAAGCACGAAAGGGCCATATTTCCGATGCCATTTTGCGATGGCCTGAGGCCTTTGACGAATCAATTCGAACAATGCAACATAGTGATGAGAAATTCGGCATGGCCAGGGGCCTGGAATATGCCGGTATTTTGCCACTCGCCATAGTACGAAAGCGAGACCGGAAATAGTCAAGACTAAGGCAAATAAGCCGATATAGCGAGAAAAGATCTGGAAATTGATAATATTGGTCATGGTGCTCGTATCAAAAAGGCTAGGAGGATAGGAGTTGTTGTCTCTGTAGGATGCTCATCCATAGATTTTTGTTTGAACAGGAACGTGGCTGACGAATACTTGTAGGCGCCATCTATCCCTTCTCCAGAGGATTTCACTAGCCGTGACGATCGTCTTTGTCGATTGCAGCCTCCATGATGCTGTTTACTACAGATGGTGTGACAGTACAGGCATGTTGTATGGGCCCCAAACGTCCGCTGACTTTGCATTGCTAGCGGAGACTCGCATAAGCGACTCCTGATGTTGGTGATAATTCGTCAGACGGCAGGGCTTGTGGCTATGGCAGTTGTTTTCATGAGGTTACGTCGGAGGTTTTCCGCGTCACCGCAAGAAACATTGTACCCAACATAGCTGGGACGGACGCATCATTGCGCTGCAAAAACTACCTTAAGAACGAATTTCTCGGCATCTTAAGTAACGCATGAAGGTTGTATCAGCTAGATACTTGAGTACTTGTTATTCTGCAAATACCTGTTAGATACAGCAATCTCGGAGACTACGACTTAGGAAGATTGGCCTCAGACAATCTTCACGATACATTAGGTGCAGAAGATGGGCGCCACGATAAGTCTTGCTATGATGGATCATATTCCTACAGAATTAAAAAGACTTAGACTCATAATTGACACCGATCCTGTTGCCTCAAGATCACTTGACAAGCAATAGTAATCTGATACTCAAATGATCGTATTTAGCATGTGGGCATGAAGACGAAGGTCTATCTCGTGTACGGCATTATGTTATGGGAACGAGGTCTACCTTGCACTAATTACCCTTTTGCTCCACATATGACCTTGCTGCTGTCTCGTATGTGACGAATTCCACCTGTGACCCCCAGCTTTTCAGCCAGAGTAGCACATCCTCGATGGCTCCTGCGATATGTGCCATGCCTGAGGTATCAGGATGGAGGACCAAGGGGAAGACGAAGTCACCGGGACCATTTCCGTCAGCGCCATGGCTCCACAACCAGGTAAAGCGGTCTTTCCACATCTTCTCGATCGTCTGAACCGACACAAAGCCGTGAGAATTCTCGACGTTGGGCCAAAACTGGAGGGGGGTCATGTCTTCCATGTACCAGTTGGCAGGGATTTCAACAATGCCGGTAGATTGCGGCTGGACAGAGGGCTGCATCCATGTATGTGCTGGCTTAGAATAGTCGACTGGGGTGAGAGAAAAGCCTCGGTCGAGAGGGTACAACTGTGAGTCGTGGCCGCTGAGTGAGGTGTCATAAAGAAACCCCTTTTTCTCCAATAGAGAAATCGTCTCATGGCGGATTCGGTACAAAGGAGCTCGGAATCCGACAGGGCGCTTCCCAGTCAAAGACTCGGCAAGGGCAATACACTTGTCCAGGACATCTTCCTCTTGCTTCGTATCAAGCTTGGTGCAGTCTTCGTGGCAATAGCCATGAAGTGCAATCTCCGCGCCTGAGTCTACGATACATTTCGTCTCCGCTGGGAACGTTTCCATAGAGTGACCTGGTATGAACCATGTTACCTTGTCGGAGACGCCGATACGGTGAAAGAGACCCAGAAGGCGGCCTACGCCAACTCGGCCTGCGAAGATGCCCGATGAGAAGTCGGCTAGGCAGTTGTTGGGATGCTGCCCTGTGCCCATCCAGCCCGACACCGCATCAAAGTCGACTGACACAAGTATTTGAACACGGCGACGGGCCTCAGAAATTGGTCGAGGGATCCTGGCGAGAGCCGTAGTCAGCTGCAGCTGCCCAACGAGATCCTGGAATGCAACAGCTGTCTTCGGATTTTCGTCGACAGGTGTGATCCGAACGCGGACGCCCCCGATTTCAACGACTTGATGAGCAGTCAGTTACAGGCATCGGGATAAAGGCGGGTCGATCTGGATTCCATACCGTGTTCCATCTTCAGATTGCTTGACAGAGAATTTGTCCGGAGATCTCTTGACAAAGTATGGTTGAGATTGACTACGGCCTATGCGGTGATCAAATGAGTGATGACCAGCTGGGGTTGGAATTGGAGTTTGCAGTCTGCACGATCGTGTGTACCTCTCCTCGTGTCTGCTCTTGAGAGTTCTGACCCAGTTATAGTAATTCTTATTGATAAGATAATGCACGATAAGGACTAAGAATATGCGGTGTCGTTGCTGTCTCTACATGATTATTGGACCCCTCTTGGAGATCTGATTAAACTTAACTCAGGCTCTCCCAAAAACTCAACTAGTGGAGCTCTGAGGGCCTCATTGATGCCAGCGACACCCCGCACTTTGTCAGCATCATGACCATGTTTCGTCCTGCACTGTCTCAAGAATCTAGAATATGGAGAGCATGGATGGAAGTAGGTAAAGTTTATGCAGGTTTTATCCAGTGACTGTCGTTGGGTGTCTTGGTCATTATGACGTCGCTTATGCGCTCTCTGCGACCCAGCATGGATGATTATGACCTTGCATATGAAGGGAGGCGGTCAATGCGTGTTCTGAGGCAACGTCCT